AAATACTATGGTTAAATAACAAGACTTCAGATGCCTACTACCTCCATGAAAATCACACTTTACCCTAGAAATAGCAAGACCCAAACTGAAACAGTTTCACGTGATACAGAACAAAATGCAGAAACATACCAACCAAAGAACACTCTTTTTTGAAACAGTATCAACCAAAAAACTTTTTACATGGAACATGGTTTACAAATCCAAAAGAAATCAGCCATGAAAGCTCCAATTTGACATCATATTAACAGATCCAGGTTTTAAAGGTTTGTAAACCCCCCCTGCCCCGCCCCCCCCCCCCCCCCACCACACACCCACACAAAAAAAAAAGGTGCAGCAGATTCAATATAAAGCTGATATTATTACAGAAAAGAGCACTATCAAACGACACACTTACATTAGAATAAACTAATTCCGAATCCAAAATCAAACAATCAAAACCCTATGTTTGAGCTTCAAATAATAAGTGTCGTGTTCAAAATACTTGAATTGTTGTACAAATAGACAAACATAAACCATGAAATATTGAGAATGGCCTGGTGACTTGGCAGTAGTATTGCTGAGCCCCATGGTGAGGTCTCCTACTCTATTCTCATCAAAGGGTAGGGGCCCAAATCCCCACGGACATACCACTTTTATTCACCCCAAAAAACCATGAAATATCCAACTTTACAAAATTCTGGACACAGTATCTGCAACTAAATACTTACTAAATGTCCTGATTTCATGAGAAATGCATCACAGCTAACACAAATAGATTAAAATACCATAATCAAGCAATGGAAGCCTAAATTGTACTGTGAAAATACTAACTTAGGTCATGGAAACCCAAATTTATACCATGGAAACCCAATCTAAAATATGACAACTGATCTCTTGGATACAAAGCACAGATCTGGGGCACGAAATTCTCTGGATTCCCATAACACGAAGTAAAACATAATTTTTATTAATATTTCATGAAATCCAAATAGAAAGGGCTAAAATGGTAGAAGATATTTGACTTAGGCCAAATAAGCCCAAAACACTCGTCGGATTCGTATAACTTAACCGCAAAGATATTTCCCTTAATATTCCATGAAAAATCAAATAATAGCAAAAACAAAAACAATGCTGAAAATTTGTTTGCATTAACAATAAATGACACCTTTAAAATCTATATTCAAGAATTGAATAAATTGAACCAGCAAAAACAGCAGAAAAATGTGAACCCAAAAAAGGAAAAATAAAAAATCAATCAGATCTCTGAGCAATAAATCAAAGATATAGGGTTTTCAGATACTCACCTGAATCCGCAGCACTTCAATCGATCTCAACGAGTCTGAAACCCCCAAAATAAACCCTAATTTGACGAAGCCCTAATTTTACAGGGAAATGTGAGCACTAGAGAGAGCAACCGGTCAGCCAAAATGCGAGGAAATTATAGAACACTAAACTGATTTCTTTACCCGGGTTCAACACCTGTGGTTAATTTAACCACGGGGATGGGTTAAGCTCGTAAGACGAGGAAATGCATGTGCCCGATTTTTTAGCGCCACTAAGGTCGGCATTTAATCGCCGAAATTTCGTCGATAACGAAAATTTGAGAAATTAAGGGCATCTAAATCTCTTGTTTGAATGTAAGGAAATTTGAGATACCTCTATTCTTTTTGGATGAAGTTTTTATGGGGTCTAGGTTTTATGTAATCAAAATAAAGCCTCGCCTCAAATCTTCATCCATAAAGCACTTTCGGCATCGAAAATCTTCATGATAGATCTAAAATTAATTTCCAATACCAAAAATAAAAGTTGAAACTCAAAAAATGGTATAGATCATGTGGATATGTAAATACTTATTTTTAGATCGAAATTGATGGTCTAGATAATTTGTTCCAATATAAAAAAATTTTAGAATTTGAAATCCTAATTTGTTTGCACAACCATAATTTTCAAGCTCAAATAATCGATATCTATGTGTTTTCAACACTTGAATTGCAATTTTTTATACGTTATAAGGTGAGGCTTTATTCATTTTGATAAGGCTGCAACCCTATCAAACCATTTTCCTTCTGGGCGAATAAAAGGATGGCACAGCTTAAGAGATCACTCGATTTAAGACCATATCGAAGCATATTGTTGAAAACAATTTCATGCGTGGTAGAAGTTAGGGCGGACTGGTCGGCTTGGGCATGCAAAACTAGGTCCTGGGTGATGAACTGTGTCCAAGGGTTGGGCCACTATAGTCTGAGAGTCAGGCTTGGGGCAAGGCTATGGCATGGCCGACCTCACTGACCCTATGTTTTTTTTTTTTCTTTGATTCTATTATTCTAGGGCTCCTCGTGCTCGATCCAACCAGGGCAAACCCAGCCGATTGCTAGCCCTGATGGAGGCCTCAGAAATAATAGTTGATAAGCTGAATTCAGAATCACCTGAGCCAACTCAAACGTTGAGATCCTCCGGTTTCTGAATGGCCTTGTATTGCGGAATTGCCCAAAATTGTCAAAACCCAGGGTCCATGGTAATGGATTGCCAAGTTCATCATTGGACCTTGGGCAATTTTTTGGGTCCCAATTGATTTTTTTTCCTTGGTTTTTTCGCTTTTTTCCCTCACAATCTCACAACATACTTGACGAGACGACTCAAGAATCAGCTCCCAACTCGGATTGGTGGGTGCCCGAGTCAATAACATGTTCATTTACTACAAAACAGTCAGAAAGTGGTAAATTATAGGTACGAGACTCAATAAATTTCATTAAGCAATTTGGAGGTGAGGTACATTTTTAATAATCAGTACAATAAGGTAGCTTGAGACTGAATTTTAAATGGTTAGAAGATCGAAAAAGTTGAAAATTGACGAGCGTATACTTCAAGCGTGGATAAACCTTGAAAAAGAAAGAGTAATCGTGTGAAACTGGTTGATGTTCACATGTAGTAAGCTCTTTTTATTTGACTATTTATTCAATATTTTGGTCTTAAAAAATAGAGGATATAAACACCAAAGGGATACGAACTCACAAAGCATACTATACACTTGCTCACTCGAGCGAAATAACTAGTTATGAGGATCTTTTCAATATGAAATATTGATGTCCATTTAAAATCGCAATCATCATCATGAAAATCTTTTCTTAATTCATTAGTGTGGGCTGTACGAGTCATGATCCGTCATTCTGTTTTATTAAAAGTCATATCTGAGTTCCTAAAAGCTTAGCTTTTAGATAATGAATTATCTCTATTCAATCTTAGGATGTTAATTCTTTTAGACATTTGTGATCTACATATTGGTTTCTCTTTCTTGAGGTTTGTCTCTAAGTTGAGTGGGTTACCAAACAATTGAAGTCCCAAAACTACTCCTAGAAGTCATTTTTCTCAAAGAGAGCATGAGATCTTGTTGGTTGATAATGAAAGGTTGTGGCCTGTATAAGGGCGAGGCCTGAAACAACCAAAATAAATAGGGTCAAAGTATGTTGTTTTAATATAAAATACTTTATGATGGCCTGAAAATTTATTTTTATATCTAATAAAAAAAAATTCTAAAGTTCAAAATTAATGTAGGTCAAATAGTTCTATGAATACTTTAAAATCTTGAAAATTGACGGCTTAGATAATACATTACAAGATGCACTATTTTCAATATTTGAAATCTATTTTTTCTCGTGTTCATACATGTTGAGATCAAGATTATCGAATTTAAAATTTTTCAGCATCAAAACAACCTTTTCCTACCCTTATATAAACTTTTCCCACACTGAATGTCTTCATTCAATGTTGATCTAGCTCATTTTGTTTTTCTTTTGGTTGGTGTTACACAGTTAGTTAGAGAGCCTAGTGATTTGTATTGAAGTGAGACTTCCCTTTTTTTCACTTCCCATGAAAGCTTCACTCTCGGGACCTCTTTCTTGTATAAAATCTGTCGTGTCTTTAAATATCGAAAAGAGTTTCGTTTCTAAATGGACCCAAATTTTTAAATCAATTAAATTAAAAAAGAGTTTCCTTCTTGTATTTATATTTCTATTTTCTTAAAAGGATTCATGATTTGTCCGTTAATTTTATTTTGTTTGGATAATATCACCCCTTGGATAATTTCTCACACTGCACCTTGTAAATTCGTGGAATATTTACATAATTATACCTTGTATTTTTTGGAAATTTAAAGTTGTTATATCCATACTTTGTATTATCATGTACCTGTAAAAAAAAATATACAAAATGATAATTTAAAATAAATAAGATGACTATAAGGATTAAAATACCCCTATAATTTGTACTTATTATTCTAGCTCTCTTCTCTAACCTGCCAAATTGCCCTCTTCCTTGTCGATTTCTTTACCTTATAGTAATTTTCTACATCTACAAGTGATTTATTTGTGGGTCTTTTTTTTTTTATTATTCAGAAGCTTTCACATTTCAGGGCATGGGCATGTTTATATTTTAGTTGTTTAATCTCAATGGGTTGTTTTTAATTTAATTGGGTTGTTTTCATAAATAATAAAAGGAGAATATCTCCATACCCTTTATTTTTAAGTTTCATATCTCAATACACTCAAGATTTTAAAACATATCTTGAATGATAAAAAACTTAAGTTTTATATCTTTTAACTCTCTATACTAATTTTACTCACTTTATTCTTTTTTTTTTTAATCTAAACAATTTGTTTAAAAATAACCATTTGTAAATCCAATCCTTTCTCTCTCATATTTTCCTTATTTCTCTGTCTTTTTCTTTCCATTGTTACTCTTCCCAACCCCTTCTCTCTCTCACCATATTTCCCATTTTTCTCTCTTTCCCCCTCCGTATATCTCACTCTCTCTCACGTCCTGATTTTTCTCTTTCTCTCTCTCCAATGTGTCTCTTCGTAATTCCTCTCTTTCTCACTGTCTCTCGCATCCTAATTTTTTTCTTTCTCTCTCTCCAATGTGTCTCTCCCTAATTCATCTCTTTCTCACCGTGACTCTCTCCAACTCCACCGTAACTCTCCATAATTGTTCTCTTTTTCTCTCTCCACTTTAACTCCCTAATTTCTCTCTATTTCTCACCATGACTCTCCCCAACTCTACCGCGACTATTCCTAATTTCTCTCTCTCCACTCTCAATGACTCTCCTCAATTCCATCGTGACTCTCCTTGGTTGCTCTCTTTATCTCTCTCTCCATTGTGACTCTCCCTAATTTCTCTTTCTCTCTCCAACATGACTCTTCTCAAACCCCTTATCTCTCTCGTCATATTACCCATTTTCTCTCTCCTCCTCCGTGTTTTTTCATTCTCTCTCATGTTTTATGAATTTCCTTTTCTCTCATGTCTCTGTGAAACTTCTAACCTCAATTGAAATAACATACATTTTTAGTCTCCTCGAATACCTCGAAATTTTATACCTCAATTACAAAACCTTCTAATTTACTAATCAAGCTTTTTTCTATTTTTTAATTCGTACCATAGAGATTTTGAATTTAGTACCATAGATATTGTTTATTTGAAATTATATAGAAAGACATTTGAAATACTTATGTAATAAATAAATAAAAATAAGGCTTATCATAATAAAATCATGTTATTCTAATCTTATTATTCCAATGACTTATCATTTGAAATCAATGTCATGTTAGAAGACATGTGATTCCATGAAAGTGTCAAAGGCATGTAAAATAAGTAAGACATGGTGTCACGATGCTGTAAAATAGTACAAGATATTATTAAAAAATATTTTTGAAATGGTGATGATGTTGTTATTATAAATATTTTTAGAATGGTTTGATGATAATTTTAGTTCAATATTTGAGTGGAGGTTTGTAACAAATAATAAATAAATGGTAATTATGGATTTTAGTATAATTTTATAACAAAAAAGAAATAAATGATAGTTTATAGGCACGTGCTGGTAAAATGTTGATAATGCATTTTTTATATTTATTCTAGACATAGCCAAACAATAACAATGGATTTGTCATGTTACATCTAAATACTACCCAAACAGTAACAATCCATTTACAGGTAGTGTATTACGTCAGTAATATATTTCATAGACAATTTATTTCCAGGTATCTAAACGGCCCTTAAATTGTTATAGCAGACTTAATTTTATAATTTAATGCTCTCATGGGTTGCGAGTTAGTTAAAAAAGTGCAAGTTTTATACTTTAATACTCTCAAGCAATGTGATAAGTATTTTTTTAAGGGCAAGCTTTCTATATTTTCCCTACAGCCTAAAACTTATATACTTCCCCTTATCCAACCGTCCATTTTAAATCGAGGAATAAGATTGCCCCAATCACAATGTCACGTCACTACACTATTTTCTTTTTAAATTTTTTTTTATAAACTATTTTGACACCAAATTTTGGACGCCCAATCATCTATTAAAATTGCAATGGCAAAAAAAAAAAAAAAATATTTTCAATAAAAAATAGCCAAAATACCCCTGAAAATTTCAAGGGGTATTTTGGTCATTATAATTTATCGAAAAATTAGTTTTAATATTTTTTATAGATGTGCCCCAATGAGAAGATGACACATACCAAATTCTAAATTCATACAATTTGTATAAAAAAAACTAAAAATAAAATATTTTAAGATATCATCTAAGATCAAATGGTGAGTTGCTCTCTTGAACAAAATTTGGACAGCTGGATGGTAGGGGAAGCATAGATATTCTATGCTGTAAGGGGAGTGTAGAAATATTTTCCTTTTTTAAAAGGGAAGTAGAATCAATAATACAAAGTGAAATTTCGACAAAATGACCAGGCTCCCTCTAATTTCTAAACGGATTACCAACCACAAAAATTTCCAATATTAGTATCTAAATCATCCAGCTTCGAAGGGAGTAGGAACTTCCAAGTCCTAGATAACAACAAGCTTCCAGCTGTCGAACAAAACAAACCGCTAAATGTATTTGACCACTTTTACAATTTTACTCAAATTTTCTTGATCTTTGTAATACATCAAAGCTATCAAATTTCACATTAGATACCTGCAAGTAATTGCGACCCCCTTGTATTAAAGATAAATCATCCTATTGTGTACAGTCATTTTTAAAAAATGATGAAGTTTCTAGAAGGCCTAAGCTTTATGAAAACAAAATAAAACCTCACCGCAAACTGTTGACAACATAAATCTCCCTAGTGGATATAAATCAATTTTCGATAACAAAAATAAATTTTGAAACTCAAAAAAGGCAAGGATCCTGTGGATCTATGAATACTTATTTTTAGGGTGAAATGAACGATCTAAATAATATATTACAATATATACAATTTTTAGGGCTTAGAATCCTAATTTTTTTTACAAGTAATGTGTTCAAGCTGAGATGATAGTTGTAAAGGTTCTCCAATGTTGAATTATAAAATTTTCGATGAACTATATTTCGATGAACTATAAGGTGAGGTTTTACTTATTATCATAGGGCTGCAGCCCTATCAAACCATTTTCCTTTAAAAAGTCGGTTTTTCAATACTTTCGAGTTTTGAAAGTTACTTTCCCTCCTCTCCTCTCTCTCTCTCTCTCGTTTGGGTTACGGTATGCTTCATGTTTAGGGTTTGGAAACCATTATCTGCTTTGTTGCAAGTGCTCACAAATGGCGGATTCGTCTCGTCAGATAAACATTGAAGCCCTAATTTCATACACTGATGACCTTGTTAGGGTTCTCAGGAGCAAGAAGGACATTACCATATTGACACATTCACTGGAAGGGGCGAGCAGCCTTCGTTCTTCCACTCAGAAAGATCTCTCTGATTCTCTGTCCCATTTACATGGTCGGTCCTCTTGATTTTTACCCGATTTTTTTTTTTGATTTTTTTCAGTATCTATGTGAATACATGGCTCTCTGATTGGTTCTTTAGCTTATGTGATGGGTGCTTTAATATGATCCTATAGTAGTATTCTTGGTAATAATTGGGAACAATGTTTGTTTTTGTGTTATCAGAGGAAATTTTTTCGATAAAAATTACTTATTTAGCTTTCCTCTTATATGTTTAATTTAATGGCACAGAAAACTTTACCCATGATCATTTCTGTGGACCGTTTTCTGTGTGCAGTTTTTTTTTTTTTTTAATAGTTTTTGGTCAATATATGTATCAAAATTCCCATTTATCTGTAAATTTTTATATTTAGTTTAGTGAGAAGCAGGGTTCATGTTCTGTAGCTGAAAAGAAAGGAGAGATTGATTCTAAGTTTGAGGTTTATTTTATTTTATTATTTTTCAACCATTTGATGTTCATTTTTCATGGCATTTGACTTTAATTCTGGTGTGGAAAATATTATAGTAGAGATTGTGAATCATAGGTCTTAAGTTTGGAGGTTGCAAGTTTCATATTTCTTGAGAAGCTTCAATCGTTTGTGCTTCGTACTCAATCTTTGGATGATCCATTTTAGGGGAGAATAATGCTTCTTTCTTTGAAGCTTGAAGCAGTAAATCAAACTCAGGGAGTTCAACTTGGACTTAAGTGAGTTCTCGGACTCAGCAGGCTGCCCAGTCCAGAACCAAGAACTCGAGTGAGTCCTCAGTAGGGTCGTGCCAGTCCCCAATAAATTTTTATTAATTTATTAGGACTCTGCCGATTCTCTAACATACATGTCCAAGCCCAAGGTTTCTGACTCGGGCTCGGGACCCTAGTGAGTCCCGACTGGAGTCCTTATTTTCAACCTCTCGCTTAAAGCCACAATTTACATCTGAATAATGTATTCCTAAATTCCAAGCTTCAAACCTTCTCTCTTTCTTGTTTCATGGTAGTCTTTGGACCAACAGAGTATGCTGAGTTCATCATGAAATTAGGAACTTGAACTTTGTCCCTTGTACAAATCAGTTTTCCTTCATTGGAAAGAAAGAGTTAGTATCTCACTTGGTTCCTGAAAATATTGCAAGAAAATGACTTTTTGATTCTCTTCCACAATAGGACATTTGGATCATAGGGTGCAAACTCACGTTTATCATATCTAGGATATCTGACATAAATCATGCTTGGCACAATTTTTTGCCCCGAATCATGTTATCGGTTTCCCAAAAAGGGGTCATAGCTTTGCAATATATTTGCAATATAAAGGAGGTCATTTGCATGCCCCTGTTTTTTGGGTATGTAAGGCAAAAGCACATTGTCACATGCACTGCCTGTCCCCCCCCTCTGTCACTCTCTCTCTGTCACTCTCTCTGTCACTCTCTCTCTCTCTCTCCTTCCCATTGAAGCTTCTTGAACCTCCACCTCTCTGTGCCAAGAGGAAGAAGACTTCCTCAAATTATCCAACAAACTCAAATCCCCAGCGATGTCCTTTGTTGTAATCAAATACAGATCAGTTGGTATGTAGGCCTTCTTCCGATTGATGTACATTCTAAGCGAGAGAGGGAGCATACATGATACCATTGGGGTATCATTGGAAGAACAACCGGTCATGTTCCTATATACTATCATTCACAACCTGGAAAATTGCAAAGTAGTTCATGATTTTTATCGCTATAATTTGATAACTATTATCTTTATTCCATAACAATTTGATTAACTTTATCTCTATCTTTGGAAAAAATTTACATGACAATGTGGTTGATGTTCTATACAGAGAGAGAGAGAGAGAGAGAGAGAGAGAGAGAGAGAGAGAGAGAGAGAGAGAGAGAGAGAGAGAGAGAGAGAGAGAGAGAGAGAGAGAGAGAGAGAGAGAGAGAGTAGAGTAGTAGAGTAGTAGAGAGTAGTAGTAGTAGTAGTAGTAGTAGTAGTAGTAGTAGTAGTAGTAGTAG